TTTGCTGACACTTGAGCCTGCATCTCACCAAAGGAAACCCAGACCACAGTGGAATAGATAGGAAATCAGATATTCAGAGCTTGTTGAAATATATCCCCCATATATACTGTATTTCCTTCCAGTCTTTTTTCTATGGACATATGTGTGTGGTGTATGTGTGCTCACGCATTTTATGGTTTACAACATATCGTAATTTTGTGGAAGCCTGAATTTCAATCCTGCCCCTGGGAGATTCGATTAAATGGGAAGACCTCGGTCAGAGAAGTCCAGCTGGGCCACCCAGCATCTGCACCTCAGTGGAGCCTTGTTTCCCCATGGTGTCATGCATGGTGACACTTATGAAGTCACATGTGACTGGATTTTATAGCGAAATCACATGCTACTGTGGTGCCTGGGTGTCAACGAAGGTCTCAGAAACACACCTCCAGCAAATGCCAAGAGCTGACTGTACTTTGGGTGAATGTTTTTTTTTCTACTTGGATCACATGCTATCTTTTTTCCATTTATATCACTGTAATATGGAAGCACACAGATGCCTCATAAATCTTCTGTGCTATTTGGTATAAAGAGCGAGTCTCCAGGCACCAAACTGTATAAACACAGCTGGTATGCAGTAAAACTATTTAGATAACTAGTGTGTTTATTTTGTTCTTCCACAGTCTATCCTATAATAGTACCTAGTACACAGTAAATGTTTAATGAAAGATGAATATTATTAACTGTGACTATGAAATAATTTCTACAGGCCCAGAAAAAGCGCCACCGATATAATGGAAAATTACTAAATTATACTATGCAAAACTGATGTAGAGAGAAAAAAAAAGCAAATCTCTGAAGAGCCACTTTATAGTTCTAGGATATAGTTCTGCATGCTCACCGGGCAGCCTGGCTCAGCAGCGACACCGTGTGGTGAGAGATCTCTGATCCCCAATAGCACAGAGTATTTTACAGGAAGCAAGAAGCAGAGAGCCAGGGAGGTGGATGGACCTAGAATCTGTCACACAGATGAAGTAAGTCAGAAAGAGAAAAACAAATACCATATGCTAACGCATATATATGGAATTTAAAAAAGAATGGTTCTGAAGAACCTAGGGGCAGGACAGGAATAAAGACGCAGATGTAGAGAATGGACTTGAGGACACGAGGTGGCGGGGTGGGGGGAGGGTAAGCTGGGATGAAATGAGAGTGGCATGGACATATATACACTACCAAACGTAAAATAGATAGCTAGTGGGAAGCAGCCTCATAGCACAGGGAGATCAGCTCCGTGCTTTGTGACCACCTAGAGGGGTGGGATAGGGAGGGTGGGAGGGAGACGCAAGAGGGAGGAGATATGGGGATATATGTATAGGAATAGCTGATTCACTTTGTTATACAGCAGAAACTAACACACCATCGTAATTATACTCCAATAAAGATGTGAGGAAAAAAAAGAAAGAAAAAGAACAGCCAGCACAGGCATCTAATCCAAAAGGCAGGTGAGAAACCTAAAGACGGGCCGTATGTAACAGGTGACGGGATGCCAGGATCCTCTCCGTGTAACTTAATTCCATGGGGAGCCAGGAGATCGATTAAGAAGGCTCAGAATAGAAAGTACGATCCAATTCCATTCCCAACCTGGCATCCGTATCTATAATACTCAGCCACCAGCACAATGGCGGGAAGGTGTTCCGAAATGTCTCGGCATCAGAAAGACGAGGAGGCCTCGCCCAGCTGCCTCCAGAAAGACCAGCACCGTTGGTGAGTAGCCACCTTTACACTTGCACTATAAGCCTTCAGAGCACTTGTATTCCAGGAAAACACACTTCTAAACCCCTGAATTCTTATACTTCCTTCTACAGCAGATTCAGGGTCTTCTAAGAGGAGTTCATAAACATTAAGAAATAAGGATATACAGGGGCTTCCCTGGTGGCGCAGTGGTTGAGAGTCCGCCTGCCGATGCAGGGGACACGGGTTCGTGCCCCGGTCCGGGAAGATCCCACATGCTGAGGAGCGGCTGGGCCCGTAAGCCATGGCCGCTGAGCCTGCACGTCCGGAGCCTGTGCTCCACAACAGGAAAGGCCACAGCAGTGAGAGGCCCGCGTACCGCAAAAAAAAAAAAAAAAAAAAGAAAGAAAGAAGGATATACATATGGAACAATCATACTTTCATTCATGCACTCAGTTCCTTGGGCTCCCAAAGTAAAGCAGAATTCAGAGAGAAGCAGTTGGGAGGGAAAACAGTCCACAGGATAGATACCTAAGATCAACCAGACCAAGTGGAGGGCCCGCAATGAGACGTGAACATCGCTCAAAATGACACTTTTCCAAAGCGTTTCTATAATAAAGGGCTTGGTCGGCTTGGGGTCTGTGTGGCGTGTTTATGTATGTGTATATAGAATAAATATTTGCTTTAATATTGTTCAAGCTTTGCATTCCCATGGTTTGTGAATGGGGGTTACCAATGAATGGGAGAAAATGTATCCTCCCACCCCCAGGCAGTTTAAAGAGCCAGAAGGACAAAAATATGAAGCATCTACTGTGTATTGTAACACACACAGACACACAATACAAAGCCTTAGGTATTTCAGGTTATGCCCATTCTAAAGGAGATGGGAAAACCTAGAATTCCAAGCCTCTGCTCACAGGACAATAACAAGAGAGCAGGTCACTCTTTCCTCTCCATTGCGACGTCCAAGAGTCAGGAGGCCCAAGTCCCAAGACCAGCATGATGACAAGGACTCACGGGAAAGGTCAGGGAGCACTGCCAGGGGCGAGCCTGGATCTAGCTTGCTCCCTGACCTCAGAGCAGGCAGGCAGCCCTCACAAGTCCAGCCTCAGCCCTCCACGCTCAGGAAAGGAGGGAGAGAGAAGGTCTAGGAGAGTGACAGCCACTTCCCCTAGGGACCAGAAACCCTCACCCTAAAGGCTCTGCCCCATCCCTCCAAGGTAGGGGGGTCTATAAATGGGTCCTCTTTAAGTGTTGAAGCTCTGAGGACTGGCTTTATTTTGATACTTTTTAATAAATCACAGAACAGAGCTGTTGCTTCTCCTTCTATTAGCACATAAAACAGAGATAAATGATGTGGAGCTTTGAGGCCTGAGATGAACGTGCAAACAAAAGTCATACCATCAATCCCCAAGAACACCCATTAAGAAGAGGGCAGGGCTTCGCTGGTGGCGCAGTGGTTAAGAATCCGCCTGCCAACGCAGGGGACATGGGTTCAAGCCCTGGTCCGGGAAGATCCCACATGCCACAGAGCAACTAAGCCCGTGTGCCACAACTACTGAGCCTGTGCTCTAGAGCCCACGAGCCACAGCTACTGAGCCCACGTGCCACAACTACTGAAACCCGTGCGCCTAGAGCCCGTGCTCCACAACAAGAGAAGCCACCGCAATGAGAAGCCTGCGCACAGCAACGAAGAGTAGCCCCCGCTCGCCGCAACCACAGAAAAGCCCACGCGCAGCAACGAAGACCCAACACAGCCAAAGATAAAATAAGTAAAATAAAATAAATAAATTTACCAAAAAAAAAAAAAATTACTTAGTCGTTTTAGACCAGGCACCAGGCCATTATTAGGCACATTATACACTTTTAACTTATTCAATCTCCCAACAACACCAATAACATAATAATAATAATTGCACTAAGGTGTTTAATGGGGTTTTTTGTTTGTTTGTGGCTGTGTTGGGTCTTTGTTGCCGCGCACTGACTTTCTCTAGTTGCGGTGAGCGGGGGATACTCTTTGTTGCGGTGCATGGCCTTCTCATTGCAGTAGCTTCTCCTGTTGCAGAGCACGGGCTCTAGGCGCACGGGCTTCAGTAGTTGTGGCTCACGGGCTCCAGAGCGCAGGCTCAGTAGTTGTGGCGCACGGGCTTAGTTGCTTTGTGGCATGTGGGATCTTCCTGGACTAGGGATTGAACCCGTGTCCCCTGCATTGGCAGGCAGATTCTTAGCCACTGCGCCACCAGGGAAGTCCCTGGACTAAGGTTTAAATAATACAATTTACACAGAACTTCCATATATACAATTTCATCTAGTCCTCAAATAATTCTGTAAGGTTTCCAAATCCTAAATGCTCTCAGATTCTATATGTCTTCCCCCAAGTGAGCACATCCCACCCAGAGAACTCATAGCTCTAGTCTCTTCTGAAAAGTAAGTTTGCTAAGGGACAGAGAATAACCCAAAAGAGAATTCCTCCTCTTTTAAAACGGTTCGGAGAGAGGGTATAATTTGTTCTTTTCCAGGTAAAGCAGGGAAGTTTGGTGCTTAGAGTCACCTGGACTATTAGGTATTTGCTGAAACTATACAGTTACATCACTAAACTCACAAATTTCCCCATTTAGGGGAGACAGAGATAGTCCCACAAAATAATTTACCACAATCAACAAGAAATTGACAGCTTGGCAAAGCAAAAAGATTGAGAAGACACACCTGGAGAATGTGGCAACCTGCCCAACCAGGTAGCAGCCACAGACATCAAATGCAGACAAAAGGCCAGGAAAATTCCTGAATACATAGGATCCCAACTCCATGACATTTTCCCTTTACACAAAAGTAAAAGATATCAACTGAAATCCAGAGCCCCTTCTGCCACAAGATGGCAGACTTCAGCACAAAAGAAACAAAAGTTGTGATTTCCCCATCCAAAGATTCCCTGAGGAAGGTCCAAATCAAAACCAAGGCTTTTAATCCCAACTGAATAAACTGCGGTTTCCAAATACACTCTTGACACATAGAAGAGTGACCTTTTCCCCCCTCAAATGGAATGGGCCACATAACTTTAAGACACAACTCCCTCTAAACTCCAATGTTCTTCTCTCCCTCCCTTACATAAAACACCAAAGAAATTAGTTATACTTGGACAACTTTAAGACGGTTTCAAAACCTGAAGTCAAAATAGAAATGGAAAATCAAAACAGAAAACAAAATTGAAACCCACTGCAAGGCAACGACTGAGGGAAGGGTCACCGTTTGGAAGAAGGGCACCTGAGGAGGTCCCTTCCCAGCCGAGCACTCACCTCAGCTGCCGACAGCAAGTAAAGAGGCGTTAAGGCAGGAACATGTTTTGCATCACAGCTTAGGCCAAGCGTCGTCAGGATCTCCTTAAGGACTTCGTATCTTCTAAAATTGCTTGATTTGAGCAGGTTAAAATCCTCTTGTGTTTGCACTACTGGAGAGCTGGGAGGTAGTTCCAGGTGCACCTGAGGGAAAAAGACACCACGATGTAAACAGAGGCACTTAGCGACGTAAAGAAAAGCAGTGGCTTTACTACTTTTTCTGAAAACTTGAACATGAATTCTTCTAATTATCAACAGTATATAAACCTGGAACCTGAATATTTGGTAGGGAACCACAAGCAATAAAAAGATTCGAGGGGGGCTTCCCTGGTGGCGCAGTGGTTGAGAGTCCGCCTGCCGATGCAGGGGACGCGGGTTTGTGCCCTGGTCTAGGAAGATCCCACATGCCGCGGAGCGGCTGGGCCCGTGAGCCATGGCCGCTGAGCCTGCGCGTCCGGAGCCTGTGCTCCGCAGCGGGAGAGGCCACAACAGTGAGAGGCCCGCGTACCGCAAAAAAAAACAAACAAAAAAAAGATTTGCGGGAGCCCATTAAAATCGTGGCTGAAAAAAAATAAATAAATAAAATAATAAAAAAAAAAATCGTGGCTGAAAAGATCTGGTGGAAATGACCCCGGATAGTAACTTTCCAGGTCCCGAATTTTATCACTAATCAGTCATGGGACCTTGGGCAAGTCACTTAACTCGGTTAAACGATGACAAACGTTTAGGAACACTGTTGTGCTGAGGACCCAAGTACAGTTGCTGCTGAACTGGGGGAGGCACAGTGGGTCATGCTCGAAGCTTCTATTCCACCTACTGGTCATAACTCCTGGGGACAGGAGTGGCCTTAGTCACCGCTTTAAGAGTGTTTGCAGGAATACACATAGAAGAACGGGGTTTGGCGGACTCGAGAAAGGGCTGCCCCACCTCCCTCCTTCACCTGATAAGACTTGGAATTTCATGTATTTAGTTCAGGCTTTGTTGTACAGTTAAAATTAAAGTAGTTCTTGGACTTCCCTGGCAGTCCAGTGGTTAAGACTCCACACTTCCACTGCAGGGGGCGTGGGTTCGATCCCTGGTCAGGGAACTGAGATCCCAACATACCAGAACTTCTAGCTGACTCAAACTAGAACCTTCCTATCAATGGTCTGTGTTTTGGTATGAAGGAAGGTACTAGAACTTTTGGCTCTGTTGAGATGAGATTTTAACTGGGCATTAGCGCCTGGAGGATGCCAGAACACTCAGTACTCAGAAGGGCAAACTGACCATGTTTTATTTTACTTTGCTTTTGCCAGGGGTCAGCTGTGGGATTCCACTGCCTGCAGAGCACCCGGCTGACGTTATAAGAACATTATAATAAAATGAAAAGTATAGTGCTAGGGGCTTCCCTGGTGGTGCAGTGGTTAGGAATCCACCTGCCAATGCAGGGGACAGGGGCTTGAGCCCTGGTCCGGGAAGATCCCACATGCCGCAGAGCAACTAAACCCGTGCACTACAACTACTGAAGCCCGCGCACCTAGAGCCCGTGAGCCACAACTACTGAAGCCCGCGCACCTAGAGCCCGTGCTCCACAACAAGGGAAGCCACCGCGATGAGAAGCCTACACACCGCAACGAAGAGTAGCCCCCGCTCGACACAACTAAAGAAAAGCCCACGCGCAGCACCAAAGACCTAATGCAGCCAACAATAAATAAATAAATTATTTATTTATTTTAAAAAAGTACAGTGTCAGCCTTCAGGCAACTTAAAATCTCCCAATTCCCACTCAAGTCTTAACCAAAACAAAAATACTGCCCAAATATACTGTCTAAAACAATCCAATTGTTGAAAGTTGAAGCCAATCTGAAACGTTTGCAGAGGATGTCCAGCAGAGTCCCCACATTCCAGCGGGCCAGCTGAGGGCTGCCTGCTTCACCCACAACCGAGCCTGTTGCCCACGAGCAGCAGGGGAGTCTGTCCTCTAAACAGCCCTCGAAAAGGAAGGAGGCATAAAAGCGAACTCCTTTAAGGTATATGAATCCTACTGTGTGTCCTTCTACCGTGCATTCTTACCCAAAACGTGTGCCTCTCATCTCCAGGGGTCAAAGCCAGTGCTGGGACGGACGGTCAGCGTGGCAACGGGTCACGTTTAATTCACCTGAGCACGTGACTGTCCGGAGATTACCTCTTACGTGTGGCAGAAATCAAAAGAGCCAAGTTCTGTCCCCACCTGGGCCCAAGGAGGGGGGCGAGTGTGGTTAATGGCCAACGTACTCCCTGGGCTGAGTGAATACACCCAGGGTAGGGTGCTACAGAAGTCCCTGTCACAAGTGAGAGATGCCGAGGATGAAAAGGAGAGCTCCCCCTACGAGCAGGCCTCCGGATTCCAGGAGGTGAGAGAAAGCACAGCTGTCGACATTGTGGGCGAAGTGTGATCGTCGGTTTCAAGGTTAGGTGCTTCTACGACAGCAGCGAGAAGAGAGGCCGTCTGGCTCTGCACCTCAAAACGGCCACCAGGGCTTGCCTGGTGGCGCAGTGGTTGAGAATCTGCCTCCTAATGCAGGGGACACGGGTTCGAGCCCTGGTCTGGGAGGATCCCACATGCCGCGGAGCAACTAGGCCCGTGAGCCACAACTACTGAGCCTGCGCGTCTGGAGCCTGTGCTCCACAACAAGAGAGGCCCACGCACCGCGATGAAGAGTGGCCCCCGCTTGCCACAACTAGAGGAAGCCCTCGCACAGAAACGAAGACCCAACACAGCAAAAATAAATAAATAAAATGAATAAACTCCTACCCCCAACATCTTCTTAAAAAAAAAACGGCCACCAGCGCATGTGTGTGCCACACCCACCCTCCTGGTCCTCTGGCTGTGATGCTGTTACCATAGTGATGGGCCCATTTCTGTAACTTGGCTTCGTCTAAAATTAAGGCATTTAGACAAGCCCCAAAGCCAAAACTAAAAACGTCTCCAGTCACAGACAGGATGGTGGGTGCTACTGGCATCTAGCAGGCAGTGCTGCTAAAATGACCCCACAACAAAGGAGGAACCGGTCCGAAATCTCAACAGTGCCATGGTTGAGAAACTCTGCCATAAAAGTAGAACCACTTCTGCTATGTGCTAAGCTAATTAAGAACACAAAATATTTCAAGTCCATTTCACAGGCTCTATTTGCACAACTTCATGCCAAACTCCTGGTCCATTTGATAAATCGAATGTCAGCATTAACCCACAGCCTTAAGCTTTCCCTGCAAATCTGATCAGCAGAAAAGTCCATCAAAATTTCCTTTTTTCTGTACGATGACGAATGCCTTGCCTAAGGTCTCAGTGTCAGCTCCCTGGCTGTGAGACCACCACCTACTGAGCAGCTGTGGTTTGTTTTGTCCTTGAAGTCCTCCTCTTACTGGGTTACATCATTGCCCCATTTATTACAAAAATGAAGACTATGAAATTGAACAGGGAAAGAGGAAACTAACCAGCCTGGGCTAATATTTATTGGTTGATCTCGGCAGCAAGGTATGGTAGTGACACAAGCCTGAGGAGAAAACAGTGACCCTGTCACACAGAGACTGGAAGTCATTTAAAATCAAAAATGACATTCTAATCCCCTGCATCTGATTTCTGAAGCTGCATCATGTTGCCTTTTATCCTAGGGCAATGCATGCATATCAAATTTTATGACAGTAACGGGGTCAATTTAAATGGCACAGCAAGCAGATTTGCTATGTAACTCGGAGAAATGGATCGCCCACAGTGCCGAATCAATTTTCTAGTACAAGTCTGTGCACAGGGGTGGTCAAATTCACTGCTGAAAGCTGAAATGAGGCTCTAGGAAGTCAGGTTTTTAAGTGGATTTTCTGAGTTACTATAGTTACCATATTTGCAGACAAAAAGATAAGAGGAACTTTATTAGGCCTCCAAAAACTAATTCATGTAGTTTGCAGCCCACATGAAACCTGCTTGCGTTGTACATATTCATCTGCGATGAACATGCATTGTACATGTTCATCTGCGAACATGTTCATGCCCCCTTAAAGAATGTTTGGTCAGAAAACCCAAGAGACTTAATTTCTAGGAGGGCTGGAGAGACGCACGGCATATGAAATGAAACCATACCAAAAAAAAAAAAAGGAAACAATTCGCTAACTCAATAAAAAGATCCTTATAACAAAACAAAATCTGTTAACACTCATCCTGGGAACCATTCTGGGCAAACTATCTACATCTACTTAGTCTTCTCATCAGATCATCAGGGACTTCCCTGGAGGTCCAGTGGTTAAGACTCCGCACTTCCATTGCAGGGGGCGCAGGTTTGATCCCTGGTCAGGGAACTAAGATCCCACATGCCGTGCAGTGCAGCCAAAAAGTAAAAAATAATCATAAGATCATCAAATGCTTAAGGATGAGTGTTCATCTAAACTCTAACAAAAACTTCTGCCCGGGGAATTCCCTGGTGGTCCAGTGGTTAAGACTCCGCACTCCCAATTCAGGGGGCCCAGGTTCAACACCTGGTCAGGGAACTATATCCTGCATGCCACCACTGAAAGATCCTGCATGCCACAACTAAGACCCAGAGCAGCTAAATAAGTAAATATTCAAAAAGGAAAAAAAAAACTTTTGCCCAAAGGCATTAAAAGATTGGCAGTAAATGATCAAGAATTCTGAAGTAGTCTATCCTGCTACCATTTGCTTAAACAAACAGAAAGCTCAAAAGAAAAAGAATGCGGGGTGGGGGTGGGGGGAGAGAGAAACAGCAGATGAACCAAAGGAGCCCCCTTAGCACGGGAAGGGAAGTAAAATTTTCCTTTTATCTCTGTTTCCATTTTTTCTTACCTACGTATTCATTTGCTATAAATCGAAATCACTTCAATATTCTCTTATTTGAAACTGTTCTCAACACTTAGATTTTAAGACTGACAAATCATAAAGGAACTGAGGACCTGAAGGTGTTTTCCACACTCACTATCCCAGCAGTTGGTGCGCAGTCACAGAAACCGCTGACAATGTTTTAATGCGATAGTTACTACTGTTTGCAATTACCACCCCAAGGCACTCAATTCCCTTCATTAAATAACAGTTCGATTATATTAACTGAAGTGTGCTTTGAGGCAAGAGAGTGGGGACTGATGGATTTTAGAAGGAGTATTACCAGTGTATAGATCAAGACAAGAAACAAGTTTTGGCTAATTCTTGGTTAACCAGCAATCTTTAATTAGCCATAATACCTTCTGCCTCGTTCCTCCATCACAAGTATTTTGGTGAAACAGGATATCCACAGGAAAGCCTGCTACTCACCATCAGCAGAAATTCCCAGCCAAAAGTCAGAAGTACCCCCCCCAGCACACAGACTCTCCAACCTTGCAAAGTCCGTCCTTCGAGAGCGTATCCAATCAAAGAGACCCAAAGATCCTGACATGGATGCCGGCCTGCGTACCTGGCAAAGAACAGCTTCTCCTCCACGTGTTCCGAAAGGCACTTGCACAATCAGCCTGTCCTCGTCCTTGTTGTCCAGGTGGCCCTGGAGCTTGCCCAGGCTGAGCGGCTCCCCAGGGCCTCCCTCGTAAACGCAGCCGCTACTCAGGACGCTGAGCCTCACCTGGCTCCAGTCCGCCTTGCAGAAAACCAAGCTCTGGACTGTGTCCTGCAGTGCGGCCTTCCTGGTCACCTGGAAGCCAGCAAGCGTGAAGGGCGATGACAGGCCCAGGACCTTCCCCCCCTGAGAAAGATAGGCCATGAACCTCCGGGACAGGTCCTCAGGGACGGACTCCCTCGTGGCAATGACCACCAACAGGCAGTTGTCTGGCCATGGGTCCCTGAGAGCACTTTCCAGCGGCAGGTGGTAGAGAGTGTAACAGTTGGTGTCCACGCAGTCGGCCAGAGCTGACCGGACTTGCTGGAGCCGGTCCAGGGCGTCCTGGGAGTCGGACCCCACGTAGAGAAGGATGTTGGGTGCCTTTCCCGTGAGGTTGACCCTCCTCTGTTCTCTCTTGGGGCAGAGGTCATACGCGATACCCTCCAAACCACTGCTGTAGTCGTAGGGAAGATCTGGAATGTCCTCTGCAGAAGCAAACTTGACGGATTCGATGGTGCTGTTCTCAAGCTCCAGACACTCGTGGCAGCTAGAAAGATGGAGGTGACAGTGCTCGACGGAGCCCACGCCTCTGTCGCTCTCCCCGGCAGGCTCGCCCCCAGGGGCACCGCCTTGCCCCGGCGTGGGTGCGGAACCCAGAACCTGGTGGTCCTCTCTGCCAACGTGCTCCATAGCCTCCAGCTCAGGCTTGCCCTCAACAGAAGGTTCCGGCTGGGGCTCCAGGAGCTGGGCTGGCGTGTCTGAGGCCTGGTCCTTAAGTTCCTTCAGAGCAGAGTCGTGCAAGTGGACAGCTAAAGAGAACAGAGAAGACAAGCCATCAACCCTCCGCTTTGTCACGCAGCTCAGCTCAGAACCTCAGGGCGCTCTCTGCGCTGCACGACCTACATTCCAGCGCAGCCCTCATTCCCCCCACCCCCACCTCTGAGGCCTCCTTTGGGAACCACGTAGCTGCTCCCACCTGCTAGGGGAGTGCCCCTGACAATCCCGAGTAAACTCGCACGTTTCCACACCTTTCCCGTACAGACCGGAACACCTCAGACCCCCTTATTGTCTGGTGAAGAAAGTGAGATTCGGAGAGGTGATTTTGTCCACTTGCTCATAGATTCAATTTTGTGGCTATCAATCTCCTATAGGATAATGAAACTCAAAAACAAGGCACATAGCTAGAGTCAATCCACGCACGCCCCAGGAAAAAGCCACTCTCAGGACACTTCATTGGATCAACCGGGGAGAAGGATCTTGCCAGTATCTTGACCCAGGTATGGAATATAAGTTTACAATCACTGATTCAAAAAACATTAACTGAGCACTTGCTAAACATCTGGCATGGTATTAGGCACATGCACATGGCCAATGGGGAAATGAAGTGATTTTCGCAAATTTCCAGAGCTGGTGACACTCATTGGCTCAAGATACAAAAGAAAACTTCCTTGTAAGTCAATTATACTTCAATAAAATAAAATTTTAAAAGTATATGTGTACATCGGCTTCCCTGGGGTGCAGTGGTTGGGAGTCCACCTGTCAGTGCAGGGGACATGGGTTTGAGCCCTGGTCCGGGAGGATCCCACATGCCACGGAGCAACTAAGCCCATGAGCCACAACTACTGAGCCTGCACTCTAGAGCCCGCGAGCCACAACTACTGAGCCTGCGTGCCGCAACCGCTGGGGCCCATGTGCCTGAACCCCATGCTCCGCAATGGTGGGGGGACCACCACAGTGAGGGGCCCGTGCACCGCAGTGGGGAGTGGCCCCTGCTCTCCGCAACTGGAGAAAGCCTGTGCGCAGCAACGAAGACCCAACGCCACCGGGAGTGAAATTAATTCATTAATTAATTAATTAAAATTATATATGTGTATACATAGACATAAAAAAGACTTACATGGACATGGAAATCCTACTTTTAAGCCTAATTCAGGAAGAAAATTTTGCGTGTTTCCTGAAAAAAGATGTGTCCCAAAATGATGTAGTATATATGTTTTAAGTTAAAAAAACTGTTAGATTTAGAACTTCATAGTAACACTGGCTATGCCTTCCATTCAGTTGAACTATGGTCTAGAAACCAGTTATACTGTATTAGAGTGTGTGAAATAAATATTATATGGGTTCTAAATTTGCATGCCATTTCAGGAACAATGCAATTATGGGAAATCCTTGTTTAAGAATTTGAAAAGCACTAACGATATAGTCAGGGATAAGCACCTCAAAAAAAATAACTGACACACGTATGAATGTTATACTATTATGGTTCTATCCAAACTGCTGGCTGAATTAAGCTGCGGATAAGCATTGCCCTTAAGTCATACCAAACAGCAGTCCTTAAGCTCGTAACTAATGGCATACTGCTATGATGAAAACATTTCCTAAGATGACTTACAAACGATCTTTTGGGGTATCAGTCCATTAGCCACCTGGAGTCTATCTTCAAGGAATGCCACTCCCAGCTTGCTGAAGTCATCCACACTTGCTCTGGCGATTAACTGATAAGGATCCCCAGGTCTGCAAGCTAACGGCAAGCAACAATCCGACCACTTCACAATCTGAGAAGAAGTGGGTGAGGGAGGAGGAAGAACGGCAGGATGAGATTTTTCTTTTCTAAAATAACCAGATACTTTACTTTTCCCTTCAACTCCCACCACTATATTACAGTCGAACAATGAATTACTGGATAGTACATTTTAGCATCAAAGATGTCCTGGTTCAAACATTCTCATTTCTACCTAACAGCACTAGATGTACTCTCTCATTTAAAAGTAATTAAAGTCTTAACTGCTTTTCAAGGGACTAAAAGGGGAAAGGGCCATTCCCTACATACTGGAAAGACATAAACTTGCCCTTCACTAACAGGATATAGGAGAGAGCAAGCCTGCAATATCCAATGATTCATGGATATTCATTCACCCTTAGATCAGCTTTTCTCAAAGTGGGGTCCAAGACCCACTGCAACAGAACTCCCCGGGAGCAGATGAAAACTTCATGTTTCTGGGCACTACTCTCTGTCTGGTGCTTCAGACTCTCTGGAGTTGCAGCCCAGGAATCAGAAGTTTAAACATGCTTCCCATTGATTCCTGAATGTGAGAGCAACTGTCTCCAGAGAGCTCCGGCCTGTCGCAGTTCACATTTCCACCACAAGGGGGACAGGGAAAATGAGAGTAGACAAAGCTCAGTCCTTTAAGCCAGCGGTCCCCAAACTTCTTGGCACCAGGGACCAGTTTCATGGAAGACAATTTTTCCACGGACCGGAGTAGGGGGGATGGTTTCGGGATGACTGAAGCACATTACAGTTATTGTGCACTTTATTTCTATTATTATTACACGGTAATATACAATGAGATAATTATACAACTCACCCTAATGCTGACAGGAGGCGGAGCTCAGGCAGTAATGCAAGCGGCGGGGAGCGGCTATAAATACAGATGAAGCTTCACTCGCCCATCCACCGCTCGCTCACCTCCTGCTGTGTGGCCTGGTTCCTAACAGGCAATGGACCAGTACCGGTCAGTGGTCCAAGGGTTGGGGGCCCCTGCTTTAAGCCTTCCAGTGTTTATGAAAAAATTTGAGACTGGGACAAGAAGGGGAGCCCCTTGGGGTTGGGAGCCTGGCTCTGGAGCCCTAGATCTGGGTCTGGGTCAAACTCTGCTAATCGTCTCAGAACCTCTCAAGTCTCAGCTTCTTCATTTCATAAAACAGGAATAATGATAGTACGCATCATTGTATAGGTTTGTTATGTTAATGAAATTAAAAGAGTTTATGTAATGCCCCCAGTAGAAAGCTTGGGACAGAAAAAGTGTTTAATTAATGGAAACTGCTATTATTAAAATGTGGCTTTAAAAGCAATATTGAATATAGTGGTCCTTTTCCAAGATGCCATGAATAATTTCCCTACTTCCCAAAATCTTCTCAGGGATGTCCTGCCCCAAATTTCATGATCAGAGATATATACTTTTGAATTCCATTTTTTATATTGTTAGGTTAGGTTTTTAGAACTAACTCTTGCTGAAAACAATTTTAAAATGCTGGATATGGACTTCCCTGGTGGTCCAGTGGTTAAGAATCTGCCTTCCAATGCAGGGGATGCAGAATCAATCCCTGGTCGGGGAACCAAGATCCCACGTGTCACAGGGCAACTAAGCCCTTGTGCTGCAACTACTGAGTCCGTGCCACAACTACAGAGCTCAAGTGCCACAACTAAGACCCGACTCAGCAATAAATAAATAAATAAGTAAATGCTGGATAAATAAAGAAAACATCATTTCAAAAGCACGGGACAACTGACTACATAATGAAGAACTTCCAGGCCAAATGCCAGGGTAAATCCTGAACCTACAGAGGTAAGGGGAATTCCCACAAGCCAAGGAACTTTGGCCCTGAGGTTACTTCTTATCCAGGAAACCTGGGATTTAAAAGTCAGGGCCGGGCTTCCCTGGTGGCGCAGTGGTTGAGAGTCCGCCTGCCAATGCAGGGGATACAGGTTCGTGCCCCGGTCCGGGAGGATCCCACATGCCGCGGAGCAGCTGGGCCCGTGAGCCATGGCCGCTGAGCTTGCACGTCCGGAGCCTGTGCTCCGCAACGGGACAGGCCACAACAGTGAGAGGCCCGCGTACCAAAAAAAAAAACACTGCTAAAAGTCAGGGCCCATAAATAAATAAATAAATAAAAGTCAGGGTAACTGGCATCAAGATAAACATATAGATCAATGGAATAGAACTGAGAGTATAGAAATAAACATATACATTTGCAGATGACTGATTTTGGACAAGGTTCCCAAGACAACTCAAAGGGAAAGAATCATCTTTTCAACAACTATGCTGGTACAACCAGATATCCACATGCAGAAGAATGAAGATGTACCCCTATCTCACACCATGTTATTACCAGGTACAAAATTAACTGAGAATGGATCAAATCCTCAATGTAAGAGCTAAAACTACAAAATTCTTCGAAGAAAACATAGATGTAAATCGTCACGACCTTGGATCAGGCACTAGGTTTCTCAGATAAGACACCAAAAGTACAAGCAACAAAAGAAAAAAATAAATAAATTGGACTTCATCAAAATTTTTGAGTGGGACTTCCCTGGTGACGCGGTGGTTAAGAATCCTCCTACCAGGGGCTTCCCTGGTGGCGCAGTGGTTGAGAGTCCACCTGCCGATGCAGGGGACGCCGTTTTGTACCCCGGTCCGGGAAGATCCCACATGCCGCGAAGCGGCTGGGCCCGTGAGCCATGGTCGCTGAGCCTGCGCGTCCGGAGCCTGTGCTCGGCAACGGGAGAGGCCACAACAGTGAGAGGCCCGTGTACCGCAAAAAAAAAAAAAAAAAAAAAGAATCCTCCTGCCAATGCAGGGGACACGGGTTAGAGCCCTGGTCCAGGAAGATCCCACATGCCACAGAGCAACAAAGCCCATGCACCACAACTACTGAGCCTACGCTCTAGAGCCCAAGAGCCACAACTACTGAAGCCCATGTGCCTAGAGCCCGTGCTCCGCAATAAGAGAAGCCACCACAATGAAAAGACTGTGCACCACAACAAAGAGTAGCCCCCGCTCGTCGCAACTAGAGAAAGCCCACGGGCAGCAAGAAAGACCCAACACAGCCAAAAATAAATTAATTAAATAAATAAATTTATTTTTTTTTAAAAATTTGTGCTTCAAAGAACACTTTCAAGAAAGTGAAAAGACAACCCACAAAATGGGAGAAAATATTTGCAAATCATGTATCTGATAAGAGATTTGTATCCACAATATATAAAGAATTCCCACAACTCAACAATAAAAAGACAAATACCCAATTTAAAAATGGGCAACGGATCTGACTGGACATTTCCCCAAAGAAAATATACAAGTGGCAATAGCACTTGAAAAGATGCTCAACACCATTCGTTATTAGAGAAATGCAAATCAAAACTACAATGAGATGGACTCCCCTGGTGGCGCAATGGTTAAAAATCCGACTGCCAATGCAGGCGACACGGGTTCGAGGCCTGGTCCGGGAAGATCTCACGTGCCGTGGAGCAATTAAGCCCGTGTGCCACAACTACTGAGCCTGCGCTCTAGAGCCCGCAAGCCACAACTACTGAGCCCGTGTGCCACAACTACTAAAGCCCGCACGCCTAGAGCCCGAGCTCCACAAGAGAAGCCACCGCAATGAGAAGCCCATGCACTGCAACGAAGAGTAGCCCCGGCTCGTCGCAACTAGAGAAAGCCCGCGTGGAGCAACGAAGACCCAACGCAGCCAAAAATAAATTAAAAAAAAAATCACTACAATGAGATACTTCATCCTCAACTAGGATGGCTAAAATCAAAAAGATGGACAATAGGGAATTTCCTGGTGGTCCAGTGGTTAGGACTCCACGCTTTCACTGCCAATCGGGTTCAGTCCCTGTCAGGGAACTAATATCTCACATGCCATGAAGCGTGACCAAAAAAAAAAAAAAAGATGGACAATAACAAATGTTGAGAATGTTGAGAAATCAGAACCCCAGTACACTGCTGGTAGAAATGTAACAGGGTGCACCCTCCTTGGAAGAGTTCATCAGTTCCTCAAAAAGCTAAACAGAGTTTCCAAAGAACCCAGAAATTCCACTCCTAGGTATATACCTAAGAGAACTAAAAATATACATCTACACACAACACAAGTACACAAGTGTTCATAGCAGCATTATTCATAATCGCCAATGAGTAGAAATACCCCAAATGTCCATCAACAGATAAATGGATAAATAAAATGTATATACCCATACAATGGGATATTACTCAGCCATGAAAGGGAATGAAGAACTGATACATGTTACAATGTAGATGAATCTTGAATACATTATGCTAAGTCTAGGAAGCCAATCACTAAAGGTCACATATTATATGATTCTATTTGTATGAAATATTCAAATCAGACAAATCTGTAGAGTTGGAAAGTAGATTAGTGGCTCCCAGGGACAGGACCACTGGAGAGTGACTGCAAATAGGTACACAATTTTTTTTTCGGGGGGGGGGGGGTGATAAAAATGTTCCAGAATTAGATGGTGGTGATGACTGCACAACTACTGAATTGTAATTATACACTTTAAAAGGATGAAATTCATGGTATGTGAATTGTATCTCAATTTTAAAAAGAAAAAGAAAAGAGTCTGGAGTCCTCCAAGGTTCAACACTACCCCACAGAATCATTATGCCTTAGTATTTCATTTTTCTCCTTAAAGAGAATTCAAACTGAATTTAACTTTTCTCCTTAGGCAAACAATAATTTTTAAAGTTGAGAAACAGTGTCTTCGAGGGAAAAATAATAAATGCAAGCCTTTATGGTCAAAAGGTCGAAACGCACTAATCAGTCTAGCCTGTTTCAAGAAAGAGAAAGCTCTACATGTAGCTTTCCCTCCCTTTTACCACCTACTTCTCCCACCTCCTCCCAGACATCCAGCCAGAGTGAGGAGGATTCACCTGGAGGGGCCAGCCTGACCAACGCTTCCGTAGGACTCTGCATTTCAAATAGGACACCTTTGATCCAGGGTGAAGAGTTGAAGTCTACAATTCAGACAAATATTTAG